CTTCAAAACCCTGATTTTAGATCAGTTCAAGTTGCACCCAACCATCTTAGGAAATATGCTCTTTCTTATCTATAAATTTATTACTCTTGCTTATGATTTGCATATTCAATATAGAGTATACTGTAATATATATTCACTTCACTTTCACATAACGTGTTCACATCAGAGTATTATAAGATATGGTAATGACCCGTACCCGTAGGGATGCGACTTTGGGGAATCTTGACCCTATCTGGCACATGTTGACAGCCATAAACACGCTGGTTTATGCGGGAAACGTATTGTACTGTTAGAAATTGCAATTTGTACATCCAAAATTCAGGATATAAAAAATTTCATTAAATTTTGCCCGCACAAATATGTTTTTGCCTTGTTTTTCAAAAGAGAAAATAATTAAAAAAAAAACAGTGAAAACGTGGCAGGTACTAGAATGATTAAAAACAGAACCCCGTAGATAAAAAGTGATAAACAAACGCAACATCTGTGCCAACGTGACCGAATACATGTTTTACCATCGTGTGAATGTAATGAGCTAGTTTATAACTTGACTAAACCGTAATGGAGCATACCAGATAATCAATATGCAAATTAACGTGAACACGTGTATCGAATCGTTAGGCATTTAGTGCTCGGTAAACAATGCTGAGATTCGCATAACGTGACGTCACGTACCCAAGTCATTATAAATACGCACACGATATGACAACTATTTTGTTTCGACATTTCTCCTCTACAAATCACTCACAGGTATGTCATTCTGTTTACGTTACTGATATCAATACTGATACCAAGGTGGTGGCTTCTCGTTAAAGGGGCACCTTCCAGTTAAGATTAATTTCACAACAAATTTACTTTCTGGATTAAAATAACAATGGATAACAAAAGATAGATTAACAATGTAAACAACATAAACAATAGTGTCCCATGATTCTTTGGTGCAATCCATGGGATTGAGCGGTTCCCCTTTAACAATTTGACATGAACTATGTAGGATATGCTCAGTTTTCCCGGGAGAATTTACGATTTTTGTGACTTCAAAGATTTTAGCGATATTTGAGGATTATACTTATAATTTCAATAATTAATATAATGAATGTTGAATAATGTACTCATTTCAATGTTAGTTTTTAGACCCCCATACGTACATACACATTGGCTAAAACATCTGGCGAATATGTATACAATTTCTAAGGGAAGTATCCCGACACTACGACATGAATTGAACATTCTGAAATATTTTTTGTGAATACAGGAGAATCTAGTAAAGTCGAAACTTTATGAGTCAGTGAAAATTCCAACTGCAGTTGCTCCTTGCCATAAACAAAATTACAGAAAAACTAAAAAAAAAAAAACATTTATTTTTGAATAGAAAGTCGATAAATGTGAAGATATTGAAAATGTCAACACACCTAACCGGACTTCTTTTCCTGATATCATTTATGACGTGCTCAGTATCACAAGGTGAGTAAATACGTGTGTGTCTTACACATATACACATGCACACAGTATAGCGATTTACTAATAATATATTCACAACAATTCTAGTACAAAACAACTCATGGCCATTGAAGTTTACAGTACATGAAACACGTGTAACCGCAATTCATGGCGTTGGTTCATTGCCGTAATTGTCACGCGATCACCATTATCGTAAAAGAAGTTATGCTCCATTCAGTAAAATAAAACATAAACAAGAGTAGTACTCTGTACAGTATATTGTCATACTTACGTAGATAGGAGTAATGGGGTGTTCATACCAGATGTAACCAATGGGACAACGAGCTCATGCTATACATTGTAGGTGTACGTGCATACAATTGACGTCAATAAAGCAACAATAACACGAGTTTTTTGAACGTTTTGATATTACATCGTCGATATAAATATGTATTACATTTTCATACTAACAAATACTAGTTATTGTTTCCTACTAGAGTGTATCTCCATTTTGCCTTAGTACCTTCATATAGAGTTCATTTTTTTCTCACGGTATACTAGTGGTTTCCAATTTAATAGGAGACGTTTTGATCTCACACTTTCCGTTCTTCATATAATACTATAATAGAAATAATGAATTCAACATGTCACTAATGTTATTTTAAGCACGTAAGACTCTGGCTGCGATAATGACTAGATCTCATAAAGGAGCTTGGAGAATACTTCAAAAACAAAATTCAAATGTAATGCACCCAGCTAAGTATAAAGTTCCAACAGTGGTATTGACACATAGACATAAGGAAGGAAATGGCACATAACGGCTTGTTTTAATTACAGGACAGGTCTACAGTTGCAGTAAATATGTCCGATTGATGAATGGTTGTGGTGATCACGGTAAATGTGTTGTAGATGGTTTAGGTGCTCGCTGTCAGTGTCATGATGGCTATAAGTTAGATCAGTTTGGAAAATGTCAAATTCTTGGTGAGTGTGTAATTTTACACATTAATGCCGCTCACGTATTAGATAAAATTGTTGAATCTTTCGGTATAATCCACAAATACTTCATGTAACTGCAATAGTTATTTTCGTTTCAAAGAGTATTAAGATGCATGTATCAATAAGATCCGTTCTTCGGAATGGCATGGCGTGTTTATGTCTGGTGTAAATGTTTTGGGGGTGTCATTATTTGTAGTTTTCCATCAATTCTTTACTTTCTGTTTTTATATTTTTTTGCAAAATATATCGTTCGTTTTAATTTAAGGTTCAGATATAGCACAGAAAAACAAAACAAAAAACGACAAGTAACAAACCAAAAACGGGTGAAGCAGATATCAGATTTTAATCAAGATTGTCGTTTTCAATTCTAACGAATTTTGTTGACGTTACAGATAAAGAACTCAAGACAAAGATAACGGATAATGACATTGCAGAAGGAGACAACATTATCCGATACATACGGCGCGATATAGCACAATGACACACACACACACAACAAGAGTAACGCGTGTATGTATGTAATGCATGTATTCACTACGTTTTTATTCCAAATATAACACCCAAACAATGTTATTACGAAAATAAATCTCACTCGGGTTCACTCAAAGCAGTTGGTAGTTTTTCAAAAATATCGAAAACAGCATTTTTATCAAAAATGACAAATATAATCGCTTAAAATAGAGAAGTGAACTTATAGCTACGAAATGGACAAGTCTATAATAGGTCCACCCAATGAACCGTATACAAAGCAATTGAGCAACAGTTTCCAAGAAAAAGTCAAAAATATCTTATTTGGCCAAAAATGACAAAATACATTTGCTAAAAATAGGGAATTGAAGATATCGTAAAAAATACTCGAAACAAAAAGTCAAAAAGGCATTTCTTACATAACTGACAAAAAAGATAAATCTGATACTACGAGAGATCAACCCAAAGAACCTGTATGCCAGAGTATCAAAGTAATTGAGCTGTTTTTCCAAGAAGAAAATGTAATTGTTGACGTATGGGCGGACGATGGACAAACACGGATATGAGCAGTTCCACTGTGTCATCTACGGTGACAGCCCAGCTAAAAAGCTGACGATGGTGCCGACAACGACGGACAATCAGTAATTTGACCCCCAACACATAGTACTAACGGGTGATACACTTTTTACCAAAGTCACACTAGGAGCACTGTAACATACATAACACTATTGCAAATATAGATTTCATCCAGTGCTTGATGCCATTGATCTGCCATCTCTGATAGCTTTCTTGTTAAAACATAGCATAACCATTACAACGTTGCCCATTGCAAATCAAGAAATGGATGGATGGATACTAACTAATGACATATTATTTTCATGTTCCTTAGAGAATATAACATGCATGAAAGTTCCCAAAAAGTGTGATTATATATGCGCAAAATAAATACTATTGGATTTCAAAATGGGAAAACATTTTTTAAGTTATACTCATAATGAAAACATCTTGCTTTACTCTGTTTATACCTCTATGCTTTACTCTGTTTATACCTCTATGGTGTACTCTGTTTATACCTCTATGGTGTACTCTGTTTATACCTCTATGGTTTACTACATTTACCTAATTGACAGATCTTACTACTAACTGGTTCTCATTAACAGCAGTATAAATGTCTTCATTCTATCTTTGCATTTTTATGTGTAACAAATGATTATGTCAGCCAAATTTTACCTTGTCTTAAAAATTGCACTTGCAAGTCAGTAACCCTGATAAAACCTTATAGATCAACTTACCAGTGCTGTTAAAATCAGTATAAGTACAGTATATGTACTTAAACTTATCAACACATACATATGATAGAATACTAATAGCAATATTGATACTTTCACAGCATGAGTTAGTTTTAGTTTTGCATTCATCATCATCAACATTCCTTCATTAAATTCAGAATGAGTAACAGATGTCTTGGTATTGAGCATCTGAATAATTTACCTTTAACCCCTTTTTGCAACTTTATTTTTCTGGAAATTTAGAACTATTTGATGACTTTTACTTTATCATGCATATTTTGAGCATTTATTCCCACACTTTCGACTGACAGCAAGGTCACTATAGCTTTTCCTCAGATGATTGATAGACTTTAAATCCATAGGAAATACCTCAGCCAGATTATTTTTGTTGAACTCTTTGCTGGCGGGTAAGTCAACTTGTTGCTTTTACTTGGTGGTTGTAACATACATACGGTACATACATTTATTTTTTAGGATTGCATGGCAATTGTGAAGACAAAATGTTGCGAAAGTCAAAGGTGACGTCATATTGTATTTTTCACTGAGAAACAAAATTCATTAAGATTTTTTCTTTCCCAAAATTTAAGAGATTTATGTATTCAAAAAATAACCTGATGGAAGAAAATTCTTTTTAATTTTTTTTCCTCTGCAAGTATTAGAAACAAGAACACCAATGGAAAAAATAAACATAAATAATAGTCAAAACAAAATACACAAGTAACATAATACACAGAAATAAATGCAATAAACTAGATTTGACATTCATAAAAGTCACATGTGTATATGGTGCATATAAACAGTAATAAATTGTTTTATGGCATTATATGAAATAATCAATTATTTAATAAAACATTTGACTTGATGGTCACAAGCACTTAAATTCATTTTTTCTGCAATTTCACCAGTGAGCTCAACGAGAGACTGCTAAAATAGAGGTTAAATAGAGTGTATCTGTATATGACAACTCTGGCAATTCTGTTTCAAATCCTGACAAAAGTTTCTGATGTTTAAACCAATGACATCATAGCCTTGTGTTGAATGAGTAGAAAGCAATGACAGATTGCAACACCCATACTAAGTTCATAAACACCCCAAAAAATGAATGAACGCTGATCAAAACTCAGTGTGTATAGGTACTAAATAATTGATCAGATTTACATCACCTAAAGGAATTCAAAGTGTGACAGACGCCAATGGCTGTTATTACCTGTGAATCTTAATCACGCTAATTTACCTCTTAGATGTCTGATACTCATCTATTTGTATCAATTTGGTATTACTAAAAACTGCTCTGGTGAATAAGTGAATTTACTTCTAAAATGAAAGTATCCAAGATCTGATAATGAAAATGTTACAGAAAACAGCAAATAGGTCAGATTCACAGAAAAATCACTGAAAATAGCGACAGTTCAACAACAAAAACATTATCAACAGGCTGCATGGGTCAAACACAAATTCAAAAACAACAGATGCAGCGGCCATTCTGACATTTTTGTTTGTTCACATTAAAATGTTAGTACAGCTACATGTTTACAAAATATGAAAAATATAAATACTTTGCTATGAATTGTATTTGGCTCAAAAATAACCTTCCCCAAAGGAAGCAGGAATGTAAAATAGTGACTATTATATACACAATTCTGAATATACTTTGTATATCTTGGTTATTCAATATATAAAAGTTAAAGCTAAATATAATCCTCCAAAATCTACACCTTTTTAAATCCATTCTTAAGGCACTAGTAACTTCTACTTGACGGTTACAAGGACTTAAATTCATTCACAATAATATTAAGTTGAAAGTTCCACAACAAATGCAAAAGTAAATAGTGATGAAGAATGTATGAATAGCAAATTAATAAGTACATGGGTAGACAATATCAATGTCATGTCACATGTCAAGAACAACTGCAAATAACAAGAAAAACATGCATGTTCTTTTGACTTCATGTCATATGTCAAAAGCATACATACATTTATATTCAGTTTCTAATTATTTAATTAGTCCCAACAGAAATGGCTGCTAATATTTTGCTTACTCATTGTCATGAGGAATGGCATGGTCACATTTCTATTACTGTATCAACTATCAAATGAAGAATACTATAATTTGTAGCATATGCAGATTAGCATAATTATATATTTATCAACACCAAAGTCGTTATTACTAGCTGCAGAGGTGGATGTTAACAACCATTCCAGACATTAATAGAATATGTAACCAGTGTCACAGCAGTCAGCTATGTGGGTTATTTTTGTATTCATCCCCAAATATCACTTCATCTTCAGATGAGAAGAGTGTGCATAATGGCATTCAAGTTCAAACTCATCAATGGGAGGGAGGTTTATTTGAGAAACAATTGATTCCTTTCAATGCCAGTAGTGGTAGTAATATGGCATAAAATACAATTCTGCATACCGAGCAGGAAGCAAAACTCAATGATATAGAAATAATTTCAATGTCATGTGACCATTTGTTCAATCCCATGATTCAATGCAGTTTACAATTAAGTAGTCAGATTACTAAAGATTGCTAACAATGGCAAATATGTAAGTGAGCTTCTTCCAGTAAATTATTAGTTCAGACCCATTTAAAAGATGTGAACCAATCAGATAACAGGCAATCACAGAATTATTCACCTAAAATCTTTTCTGAAAAAGTTGCATGTTAAAATTAACTGTGGTGTCTGATGATTCCTAAGTGAATGCCGTAAATAAGATGGGTAACATTTTCAAATTAGTAAAACTGTTGTAATTGTAACGCATATGATTTTATGCAATCTTTACAATTTATTTTTTGTTTAATTCTACAATATTATGTATCCTTCCAGAAATAAAATAGCAGAAAGTGACTCTTTGAAATGTGGCCGCCATCAATCTTTATAGCCTTAAAATGAGAACTGTATTGTACGAGATGAACAACATGATGTGAGCCATGTGTAATTTAGAGACACTATTTGAGATTTCAGTGGCTTGGCATGTGCTCATCAATTGCCTTTATTTGGTACCTGTGGCAATCTCTTCTGAGGTACGCTCTCCATGTTGTATAAAACAAGAAAGATCATGACGGCAACTAGTAAAAGAACACCAATTTGAACAAACACTGGAACAAAGCCTTTTTTCTTTTCGGCTGTCGTTGTTGTTTGTTTGTTAATTTCTTTGACAGCGGTTTTCACAACAGTGGTTTTCTCTTCTTGATAAGATTCTTTCTTTTGTGTCACATTCTTCTTGGCTGGTGAATCACGCTTCTCTTGTTGTGAGACTCTTTCAGTGTATGTAGTTGCCTTGACAACCCGTTTACGTGTCTGTGTCCTGAGTGAAAACACATATACTATATTAGTATAATTAAAACCAATATGCAGTGATTGACTAGAACAGTAGATAACTTAATCATATACTGTAAAATACTTTATTCTCGCATGGAATAAATTTTCGCTATTGTCACTGAAGGAATGATTCAGTGAAAACAGGACATGAATGTCACAGTCCCCCTTAATAATTATAAAATACTCATGTTAAAATAATACATGAAGCATTTGCAAACAATTGAATTGGGTACAACTCATCATAAAGTGATTTCCCTTAATCTGATAACTGTTAACTTTCATTGACCCGGGTCCAAAATCTCAGAGTAGACAAGTATATTACCAGGACCTGGGTTTGTTTCAGTATCACCCCTCTACATTTTCTACTAAGATTGGTACATGTAATGGTACAACCCATCTGTCAGGTTATGACATCACTAAAAACCCTAGCATTACAATCTAAGCTAATTTCTCTCAGTACAGTAGGGGGAGGGGGTAGTTTTGGATGAAAATCATGAAAAAGACCCACTGAAGATTTTCAGATCTGGGGAAAACAAATTACGTGCAGAAACTTTTTCATCAACCTGTCAAGTTTCATCGATATCTGCTGCAGAATTTCTGAGAAAATGCTATAGACGTCACAGACGGAAAATTGAAATGCCTGAAACAGGGACTAATAAAATCCAGCAAATATACCTTTTTTCTATATTTTACATTCAACTCGTCAAAATTCAGTGAAAATAAATCCTATCCAAAATACCCCAAAATCCTTTTCAGCGAAAATTAATTCGTTGATTTTTGAAATACATAGAATGCAATATATCACAAAAACACAGAGGGCGCAATGAACAAAACTACACAGTACCATTGCACGACTGAACAAGGAAACATGAAAGGATGGTTGCTAGTATATGTTCAATGAGTAACTAAAATACAAACTAACAAGTCATTGTTAATAACACAGTCCCCGTCCAAAATTTTGTGATCTGACATATCAATTTGATGCTGATGAAGTCATTGAGATTAGATTGAAACCATTAACAGGAGATGGATTTGTAAAAAATTATGATTTAGTGCTTTTACACTAGAATTGAACATTGGGCAGTCATATTGAATCAAATTACAAAAATAATGTTCATGTTGAAGTATCTATTGGTATACTGTCTTTGTACGAAATTTAAACAGAAATGTTCATTGCATTCATGAGAAAGTAGGCATGGGTATGAAAAACAAAATGGCCACCAGTCAGCCATATTAGTTTGAATCACAGAAAAAATATGACATGCAACTATAACCCAATATGTATGATCATCATACCAACTTTGATCCAAATTGGCCTAGTCATCTCTGAGAAACAGCTCCGGAAATGAAAAAATTAAGATTTAGCACTTTTACAAGAAAATTGGGCATTGGCCGGCCATATTGAATAGAATCACAAAAATAATGTTGGTGCGCATGTATCCCTTGCTATACTATCTTTGTACAAAATTTAAAGAGAAACTTTTATTGCATGACAAAGCATGTCCAAAATACAAAATTTTCAAAAAACAAGATGGCTGCCAGTCGGCCATTTTGAATCGAATCACTAAACCACTGCATGTGCATATGTCCCACATAAGGTACTATGCACATGCAAAGAATGAACGAAATCTGTCAACAGGATTCTGAAATAATACTCTGGACAGATTGACGGACGGACGGACAGACACATGGACGGACGGACACACTCAGGAACTCACGAATGGTCGGGGACATGTATCCTAACATGTATGATCTATGTACTAAATTTGAATGAAAACTGACAAAGCATGTCCAAAATACAACGTTTTCAAAAAAAAAGATGACTGCCAGTCGGCCATCTTTGATCCAATTGTTAAATAAATCGTCATGGACATGTATCCTGACATGTATAATATATGTACCAAGTTTGAATGAAAACTGACAAAGCATGTCCAAAATACAACATTTTCAAAAAACAAGATGGCTGCCAGTCGGCCATTTTGAATGCAATCGCTAAACCACGCTATGTCTCACATAAAGTACTAGGCACATGCAAAGAATGAACGGAATCGGTCCAAGGGATTCTGAGATACGACTCCGGATGGACGCACAGACAGAGACCGAATTATAAGTCCCCATTTTCAGACTTCGAACAGGGACTAACAAACATACAATATAAGGCTATACTGTAATGAGAGATGCTTCATGTACTTTATTACCTTTCAGCCTCATCAGATTCTTGAGAACTTTTTTGGACAGGAACATCTGGAAATAATAAGTGTATCAATAATTAGCACACACATGTACAATGTATGTTGTCAATAAACACAGAAATTGGTAATGTTGCAGAGTACAAAATATAAACCAAATACTGATTAAAATAAGAACTACTGTTTTAGCTTTCAAGTATAATTGCTGTTTTTGATCTGTCTTAACTCCCATAAGAAGTCTTGTTACTAAGTTTAATTATTTTGACCAGAAATGGCGCTGTCTGTATTTGACAGTTTTATTGAGTGTGACTAATCCATCTGAAAATGAAATCCCCCCCTGAATAAATTAATTTGTCACATGGTGTGAAACAAAGGGATCACTTCTCTCTGCTACCTGTACATCTTGAGATGTTTGTTACTAGCTCCTGATACTTTGGGTTGGAAACTTTATCGTCAACTACATGTGTGTAATCCTACATGGTGAAGTCTCCATAGCTGTGCTGTACCTTAATTGTCAATCTGTCATCGGGACAAAACTGTTCAGAGATTGTCAAACTAACATCAAGACATTAAATAATTCTATACAACGAACACAGTCATATCGAACTGGGTCAACTGGCAAAACTATTAAAGTAGTCTTAGACGTTGTTATTTCTTCGGTATTGCGCAGTTTAAATTGATGTTAATGATCTACAAGAGTATTTATGCATTTATTTATTACATTGTATGGGAGTATTAACCATGGTAATTTGCATTCAAATATTAAATGTAATTAATTATTTATGGTGAAATATTATGATTTGCATTACAAATATTATTTGAGATTATCTTATATTAAGGTAGCGAGAAGGTTTTGTGACGTTTTTAAATAAAACATTCTCTGTCTGTTGTCTCGTTCAGAACAGTAATTTAGGTTATATATATCAAAAGACTAAGTATAGAGGTGCAAGTTCGCACAAACTGGACAGACATTATACATAATTATCACGTGACATCAAAAATGGCGACCCTTGTAAAAATGACTAAGTACGCGATTGCGAGAGCACACTGCGGAATTTCCTGGTGAAATTTAAGTTATGCATTGTCCGTAATCAAGTCCATTGAAATGCGTCTCCGGTAATCAAAAGACCTATTATTCCAATTTCTATGCAGGTTTGTTTTTTTGTCCCCAAATTATTTCATACTTGGCACCTTTAACAGACTATTATTCTGTGACAAAGCATTTTCTTTAAAAACCCAGACATATTTCGCACCATCATTATCTTTTGAACGATAACTGCGAGTTTGAATGTCCTAGTCCGAACGCACTTGATTTGGCTGCGGTCCCAATGAGTCGTTCTCGATCAAAACTTCACTCGAGAAAAACGCGAAAAACAGTTTTGGTTAATAAAACACTGTAGATTTGCTG